ACAGTGTGTGTGTGTATGGATGTGCTTTGTGTTTAACATATAACAAGTTAGTAACCAGTAAAGCACCATGAGTGTCAACAACTCAGATCTAAGTGCTCTGTGACACATTATTAAACATTAACTTGGACATAAAGCATGTGTGGGATTCATGGTTCTTATAGCATTTACGCCTTCTGAGTTTGGTGGGTACGTTGTCTTGTCTTCTGATATCCTGTCCACTTGTAAAACTTTGATTATTACTGTTAACCGGTCTGACAGATGGTGCGTTCCTTTCAGATCCACACCAATGATTGTGCAAGTTGAAGAGAAGTCAGAACATCAAAAGTTAAAAGACCCTGCTGAGGCTCCAGGGTTGTTCTCACATAGAAACCACTTGCAAGTTGGTTCAGGTAGCCTGTGTTTTGTTTTTTTTTAATTCCCAAAGAAATAAATCTGATTTTTAAAACGCTCAGTCTTGATAGGAATCAGAGTGTTAGGCCTAGCGACACTTGCCACTTGATGAAATTATATTTTGAGGATTTCCTAGCCTTCACATGTTTAAAAATGTTTTATTTTCGTTTGTGAATAGTTACTAATTTCCCCATGTTATTTTCTTGTTCTAGTGTGCTGTGGTTTGCAGATGGACTCCCCTGCCAGGATGATATGAGATCTGCCAGAGGACGATGCATACAGGTTAGCCATTCTCCCGTTTATTCCGTGGTTATGGAGTATCAGGAGCATGTGTACATATTGACCTTACTTTTGCTATATTAGTCCCTGAGGAATGTGAAGTAGGCAGCTTTTGAAGGAACTTTACAGCTTTACATTAGGTTTGTATGGGGTGTCCAGCGTTGTGTGTATAATATGAATAAATTCACTGCGATTGGAAAACTCACGTGTAGGATTACTGTGGTCTCTCTTATATGCCTAAAGGTGACCTGGCACTTGCCACCCTTTTATATGTCTGTGATTGCATTACTTGAGCTAGTGGAGACGTGATGCGGGATTTTTTTTAGATTAATCTGGGCTGTGGAGGCATTCAGAGACTCAGCCATGGAAGACACCCTAAAAGTCTACCAAGCAAAACTTGGGAGACGGTCCAGCCCATCAGGCCGGGTCTGTGTTTTTGATTAGTAAAGAAATCGAGAGTGCTGCCTCGTTTGCGGCCTGAGCGTCATCTATGCAGGGAAGAGCTGCATCGAGAAGTGAACCAGTCTTGCATGAAGTTCTCTATTTAGGGCAAACATGCTCCTCAACTATAAATGTTTAAAAATATAGGCCATGCTCCCTCCTGGCAGCTGCCGTGCATTTTCTGCTCCTGTCTCCAGGGTCGGCTATCAGAGTTCCTTTCTCGGAGAAACTGATTCCGGGTTCCTAACCCGTGAGCTTTTCTGTCAGCAAATACTGTGTTAAACTGTGCTGGGAAATGTGTCAAAGTGCAATGCAATTTCATGCCTGTTACCCGTTTTCCTATTGGATCGCGCGTCGCCGCTTTGCCCTAGCAACAAAAGTGGGTTATTTGCATACCCTTTCCCGATTGGCTCCCGCTCTGGCTGCGCGGCGAATCGCGCGGCATCTTCCTGGTGGTAGGCTATGCTAATGAGGCACTGTTGCTGGGGTTGAGAGCGCCGGTTGCCAGTGTGGTTCTGGTGCATTGTGACTGCCTGGTGAGAGACGGTGATAAATGAGGACTTAATGATCTGCACAATTCCCTCTCACTCGCAGACACGTTCACGTTTCCAAAACGGCGCTCGAACAGCGGCGGCCAGGCCGCGTTTATGGTCTCAAGTTTCAAATTCGAGCTGTGCCGCAAACACGAAAGCAGGCGGCTGGTTGAGCCCCTGCGCGGAGCTCTCGTTTGGTTTCATTGTTTGCTTTGCGTGATTTCTTTTTCTGTGCTGAATCCCCGTGTGCTCGCCTGAAATAAACCGGCACGTGTTGTTCCGTCCCTTTTCTCGACACTCAGCTGAGTAAAACGTTCGTTTTTCCTCATCTTAAGCTTTAATAAAGAGACAGAACAAATAGCAACTCGTCTCTGTCTCTTTTGAAGCATCCTATGCCTCTGATTTCTGACTGTATGGCCGCGCATCTCGTCTGTTACAGTGTTCAGTAATGTAATACTGTAGGGAAGCTGGTGGCTATGGGCGTGTGGGTATATTGGAGAGGATGGGAAGTGCAGCACTGTAGCGACACTTGACGGGTGTGTGTGTGTGTGTGTGTGTGTGTGTGTGTGTGTTAGAAGTTTGGACACCGTGGTACTGTTGTTGAGCTCTTCAGTTCGATGGTGAACCAGCTGAGTCATAAACACACACACACACGCACACTTACAGCTCCAATTATGCCTGCTCTCTCCCTCATATTATACAGTGGCACCGAGCTACCCTGGCAGAGCTGTGTGAGGCTGAGGGGGAGTGGGTGAAAGAGATGGGAGTGCTGTTGTAGGAGCTACTGTATGCCTCCGTCCTGTATGTTCTGTCATATCCACTGTAGTGTCAGCTCACTGATTATACCTACCGTCTCATCAGAGGTATAGAATGTGTTGATCGTAGATCTGCAAGCTTATTAATTGTATGTTTGGCACATGTACGTTTTATGATGCACACACATTTTTTTTAATGTTGATACAGTACAGTCTCTCCATTTTCATTTTGCATTTGTCAAAGAGCTCAGCACTTGTAGTGAGATGTGCTGCAGGTTTACTTATTTTAAAATATTACCTTTTTAAGCTGTCTGCTAATACCGTTTGTTGTTATTTGTCTCCTTTCAGAATAGTTGAATAATAGCTGTATTTCCATTAATCAGTCCAATAGTGAGAAGTAAAATGAAAATGTCAATGTAGGCTATTAATTTAAAAAACTGAACTGTGTAATTGGTCAATTCTAAAGGCTTGTTGGCTCTAGTTCTTGCTTACCTGGACAGGGTCAGCAACCTCAAATGAGTGGCAAACTACCTCCGTATAGGATTATTCAGATTGGACACTGATATGTTCCTGGTTGGATTTCTGGTTTGTGCTTGTTTAATAACCTGATGGCTTTAAAAGTCTTCATACCTTCCAGGTAGTATTGTGATACAGTGAAATGTCTGCACAAGCCAGCATTTCTATGTATCATATACTATGAAATGATTTAGTAATGCGAGGACTTTACCATATTCCCCATCTTCATATATATAATGTAAAAGGTAAATGATAATGCAGTTTATTGTTATTGACACAAAGCATCGTAATATGGTTCGATTAATTGTGAGTTTTTTGAGGAACAATAAATCCTTCTGCTTTTGAGGGACTGTAACAAGTGCTAGGCATAATCTTGTGACAAAAGCATGATCGCATGCTGCCGTTTTAGTCTCTGCCTTTTTGGATGCATTGTAACCTGATCTTTGGTTATGGAGGCAGACTCCTCTCGCCAGAGAACATATTAGACAGTCACATCGTTTGGAACATTACATAAGACGTTCGGTCATGTTCCAAGTCTTTGGTCTGTTCAAAGCAAAGATTACGAGGGAAGGCAGAGATGGTGGCACTCTGTTTGTCTACCCATCAGTTTGTCCAGGTTGTATGTCTTGTTAGGTTTGTGCTTAAAGTCCAGATTGTGTCAAGGATGGAGTCTTAACTAGGATATTTGGCTCATGCTGTTCTGTACGGTTTTCCTGTTTTCCCTGCTGTAAGACAGGTTTGTAAAGGTTCAATCATTACAGTTAAAAACATAAATCAGCACAGGGCGGGAGGTCTCCAGGACTGGAGTTGAGAAGCCCTGTATTAAGACAAGTAGTTTTCAGCATAACTTTTAATGTATACTGTAGATGATGTTTCTCCATTTGTTTTTGTTCTTGTCATAATTCTGTCTGTCTATGTGTTGTGATGTTGTAGGAGGAGAGACCTCAGCATGCAAACCCTCGTCTGTTCGGCTTGCTCCTTCATTTTCGTTCAATGCGGCAGATGTGCAGATGGCTGCGCAGACGCCCCATTCTCACCCGCCGTTCAGTGACGGCCACCAGCCGAGCGCTGACCCGCCGGCCCCTGTGCTGCCCTACGGCCCACAGGCCCCGCAGCTCAACACCACCCAGGTACAAGCTAGGCCCGTTCGCTCATTCCTCATCACCACCCATGTACACACATGGCATAGACCTCAACCAACCAGATACAATCTCTCCTGCCACACGTATTCCTATGTGACTATACATCTACCAAGTTCACTGCATTTAAGCCTGGCTTCTAATTCTACATAAACCCCACCCTGTGGAATAGCCGTCCTCTAATTCTACACTCACCCAAACATACCCCGTCCTCTAATTCTACACATTATGCTGTTTAATTTCTCCTTTAATTAATAGTCTAAGTACATTGATGAATAGCAAGTGTTTAAACTGCACTGGAAATTTCAGAAGTTGTTAACTTTTTAACAAACTTCTTTTCTGTACACATTATAACGGCGTACTCTGTGTGTGTTTGTGTTTAGGTGACTGCTGATGTGGTGATGTTACAAAGGCGGATCCCCCAGTGCTTTCGGGATCCGGCCACAGCTCCCTTAAGAAAACTCTCCATTGAACTGATCAAAACCTACAAACACATCAATGAGGTCAGACCACTCTCCAGCCCTGTTCACACGGCCTAAGGGCACTATACAGATCTGGCATGTAGATATCTGCTTACATTGCTCACTTTGCTGGTATAGCTTAGGTAATATGTAATAAAGATCAAAACATGAATCAGATCTGTTCCGAAGGAGGCTTCTGATGTAGATTCATTCATTTTTTACTTCAGGTTTACTATGCAAAAAAGAAGCGGCGTCACCAACAGGGCCAGGGGGAAGACTCCAGTAATAAGAAGGAGAGGAAGATCTACAATGACGGTTATGACGATGACAACTTTGACTACATCGTTAAAAATGGCGAGAAATGGATGGATCGCTATGAAATTGATTCATTGATAGGCAAAGGATCCTTTGGACAGGTGGGTCTCAGCTACTGAGCTTTCTTCATGTTTTCATACACTACTCTTATGACAGCAAACGTTTTGAAAATAAAAAAACAGCATGTCTGTAAGTGTCAGTGCATTGGTACCTTAGTAGACAAAGTTTCTGCATGGTCATACTGTGTTCTCCATGACTGACTGTGTTTTTGACTCCCCCTGCTGGCAGGTTGTGAAGGCCTATGACCGCCTTGAGCAGGAGTGGGTTGCCATTAAGATCATAAAGAATAAAAAGGCTTTTCTGAACCAAGCACAGATCGAAGTACGGCTCCTGGAGCTCATGAACAAGCATGATACTGAGATGAAGTACTATATAGGTAAGGATTACCTGTGTTATGGGTGTAATTTAACTTACAGCGCTTATGTGCAGTCACAACAAACTGTCCCTGATTACAGTATGAGCTGTTTTATTGTAAGTGAAACACTACAAACCTATGTAGTCTTTCTGATGGCTAATGGTGCCATCTAGTGTTTGTGGTAGAAAATTTCCACAGTTGAAATGGATTGGTCACTCAGCTAAAACATTTTAAAAAATTGATTACATTCCAACCCAAGTGGGGTTTATAAGATTGAAAAATTGTATTGTTTAAGTGGGTACACAATTTGGAACTGTAACTGACCATTTTGTGCAGGAATAAAATATTTGTCATCGTAGTGTTGACCTTTCCACAACCTTATTCTGTGTCCTCAGTTCACCTGAAACGTCACTTCATGTTTCGGAACCACCTATGTCTGGTGTTCGAGATGCTGTCCTATAACCTGTACGACCTACTGCGGAACACAAATTTCCGCGGTGTCTCCCTGAACTTGACGCGGAAGTTCGCACAGCAGCTGTGCACAGCGCTGCTCTTCCTGGCCACGCCTGAACTCAGTATCATCCACTGTGACCTTAAGCCCGAGAACATCCTGCTCTGCAACCCGAAGAGATCCGCCATCAAGATTGTCGACTTTGGCAGCTCCTGCCAGCTGGGACAGCGGGTGCGTTGGAATTCAGTGCTTATTTTTATTTAGTCCTTTGTTTATATCCTTTGATCAATTTTTATATGCCCATCATGAACATGCGAAAATGATCAAAAACAAAGGGACAAACGGAGAGAGAGAGAAGCGAGGCCTCGTTTTGTTCAATTTTTAGGTTTTAATTTTTCTTCCCCTTATGTTTTCAGATATACCAGTACATTCAGAGCCGCTTCTACCGCTCCCCAGAGGTGTTGCTTGGCATGCCATATGACCTGGCTATAGATATGTGGTCGCTGGGCTGCATCCTGGTGGAGATGCACACTGGAGAGCCTCTGTTCAGCGGAGCAAATGAGGTACAGTTTATTAGCCTGTATCATTTTCTTTTTACAGATACAGACAAAGGGATGTGTGCTGCGATCATTGGGGTTTAATAGTGCTAGTGCAAGATTCTGCTTCTAAGATAAATTAATGTGTTTAATTGTTCTTCTGTAACTTCTTTACTTATGCGGCAGGTGGACCAAATGAACAAAATAGTGGAAGTTCTGGGGGTCCCTCCCAGTCATATACTGGACCAGGCGCCGAAAGCGAGGAAGTTTTTTGAGAAGATGTCTGACAACACGTGGTGTGCAAAGAAGACCAAAGATGGCAAACGGGTATGTGTTCCTTTCAGCATCGTTTTATCTTTGGGCAAGAAGTGCATGGTTTAAAGCCGCACTCAATCACTTCAGCTCACAGGACAGTTTGTTCTTCTGTAGCAAACAGAGGCAAATGGCAGCACATGGCTAGCATGCCTTCTGTTAGTAAACAGTGATTTATTCCTGGACTGTCAGTGGTGCATAATTGTGTTTTTTCCCTCCCCTACATGCAGTATAAGCCAGCGGGCTCTCGTAAGCTGCACAATATTCTGGGTGTGGAGGCAGGTGGTCCAGGTGGGCGCCGAGCGGGTGAGTCAGGCCATGCTGTTGCAGACTACCTGAAGTTCAAGGACCTGATCCTGCGAATGTTGGACTATGACCCTAAGAGCCGCATCCAGCCCTACTACGCCCTGCAGCACAGCTTCTTCAAAAAGACAGCTGATGAGGGCACCAACACCAGCAGCAGCGTGTCCACCAGCCCAGCGCTGGAGCAGTCTCAATCCTCCGGAACCACCTCCAGTACCTCCTCCAGCTCAGGTCTCCCATCTATTTCCTTTACGCTCTGTATCTGATTTTATCTACTTATACTGATTACTGGTTTTGATTCTGTTGTAACCGCCTGCCTGTCATACCACTGCATTTGGTGTATGATTCCACTGGGTTTACTGTCGGTGCCTGACGCTGTTGGTTTTCGTCACTGTCTTTGCTGTCATTGTCTGATATGGCAGCCATTTCAGTTACTGTCTGCCACTATTTTTACTGTCAGTATGTGATACTGCTGTACTTTCAGTGACTGATACTGCTCCTTTGACTGTCAGTGTCTGACACTGCTTGTACTTTTAGTGTCTTATGCCAATGCCTTAACTGTCATAACAGTCAGCTATAGACATTGTCAGGGTATGAGTCAGTGAGCTAGCAATTCCACCAAAAAAGTATTTTCAGATTTCACATCATTTTCTGTCAACAATATCTGACAAATGTGTTTTGACAAGTCAAAACTAGGTAGTGTTTTCTAGCCTGCAAAGCAAGTATCACTATGACAGACAAGAGAGAGAATATTTACTTGACGCGAGTTCCTGGACATGCGATTTTGTGATTGTGAAGAAATGGAAACAAATTGCTTTTATGTAGTGAAATTTTCTGCCTTTTCTCTGTTGTATGTATGTGGTGGTGTTCAGTCATTGAGCATTGAGCTGAAGTAAAAACAAGGCCACATAGACTGTATGCGCTAATTTGTATGGAGCAGATAGGCTCGTCTGTAGGGTGTCCCACACTAAGCCATTAAAATGCTTATGGTGTATTTGCAGGAGGGTCTTCTGGAACTAGCACCAGTGGACGTGCCCGCTCTGATCCCACGCATCAGCACCGGCTCAGTGGAGGCCATTTTAGTGCTGCAGTAGGCATGGACTGCCACAACCTCTGCCCTCAGGTACGTGGGTATACGTACACATATGTTTCCCTCTGCCATATGAAAACAAACTTTGAATACAAACCAATGCTTGGAAAATAAATTGATTGTAAATAAGGACTTCATTGTAGAGACACTTCAGTGTCATGTTCAATATTCAATATTAATACTCAAGTAGCTTTTGTGTGCATAGTTGAAAGAGAGGACACTGACATGAACCCTCAGCAGTCACGAATTGCATGTATGTGAAAACACAGCCTATGTGAGTACTTGAAAACAGAGTATATTTAATGCTGCTGCTGTGGAGGTACAACAAAAATGACTTACTAATATGGTAAACATTCAAGCGATAAGCCAGGATACTTCAGCTAGATTGAGGAGATGACCACAAACTTCAGAATGGGTGCTATGTAAGAATAGTGCTTTGCATCTTTTGCATCAGTGTCCCTTTGTTTTTTGTGAATCTTGAATGAGTCGTCTAACCTTATTCCATGTTTCTGTGTGCATATCGCAGGCGAGGCAGGCGTTCGCACCCGCCCTGGGCTGGGTTGGTGGAGACGGGCTTCAGCAGGCCGCAGGAGAGACTCACCCTGTCCAAGAGACCACCTTCCATGTGCCTCCCCACCAGCCCAAACCCTTGCACCCCCACAGCTCCCACCACCACCATCACCATCACCACCACCACCATCACCACCCCCAGCACGGGCAGGGCCCGGCTCGGCCGCGGCCCAGACTGTATTCGCCCTCGCACAGCGCCTCCACGCAGGACTCCATGGAGGTGTCACACGGCCACCTGTCCATGACCTCCCTGTCTTCCTCGGCCTCCTCCTCATCTACGTCCTCATCGTCCACCGGGAACCACCACCAGGCCTACCAGAGCCGCCCGCTGCCGCTCGGCCTGGGCTACAGCCACCCCGGTGGAATGAGCCTCGGCCTGGGTGCCTTCTCCAACCCGCGCCAGGAGACGGGCATGGCAGGACATCCCTCCTACCCGCTTGCCACGAACTCGGGCCCGGGCCACTACATAGCAGAGACACACATGGGCCTGCGTCAGGGCCTGGACCGAGAGGACTCGCCCATGGCCGGAGTGTGCGTGCAGCAGAGCTCTGTGGCCAGCTCCTGACTACGCTGAGAACGCTTTTTCCTCTGTGTGTGTGTTTTTAAAACGCTGGTGTTTTCAAAAAAAGTGCATAGAGATTAAAAGCTGCTGTAAAGAGAAGGGAGATGATGACTGACGCTGTAGCGCCGAGCCCCCCACCCACTCCCCAACCCCCCGCGCCACGCGCATTCAAACTCCCCTCTGCTCACTGCTGGAGGCCTCTGTTTCAGTCATTTACCATTTTTGCTTGGAACATTTTCAAGTGAAATTTGATTTTATTATAAAGGAGAAAAAGAAAGTTTCGTATGTTTTCACCTATTCCTTTTCATTCAACTCTTTTTAATTGCTTATTAACATATGCACCTTCCTGACAGCCGTGAGATTAGGTTTCTATTTAAGGTCTGGGAGAAGGTCCAGTGGTCGGGGAGACAGACGTTCTCTGCCCGTAGTCACCGGTAAAGCAATGCGGCATCCATCATCTCCAACGGTTACTCTTACGAACGCCATCTTTGTTTTGTTTCTCAGCAGGCTCGTTTTTTGAACGTTTTTTCTTCATGTTGTGCAATTCTATGCTTTTGAGTTCAGCTTTCAGAGCAGCAGCATTAGAGAGCGCAGGTGCGCCATGTGGGTCTCACCTGTAGAGAGCGCAGTTTGCAAGTCTCTCCCCTTAAAGAGCGCAAGCGTGTGGGTCTCTCAAATTCAGTGGTGCAGTTTGTTAGTCTCTCCCCTAGAGGGCTGTCTGTGGGTCCCAGAGCAGCAGCAGCAGTGTGCCAGTGTTAAAAGTTTAGTGAGGAGCTCTAAAGTGGGCAGTGGAGCGGGCAGAAGCCTGGTACTGGGCAGCGGTGGACAGCAAGTTTGAAATATGGCCTTATCACGCACTGAATGAAAAGAAGCTGGACGTTACCCTTAAAGTAAAAAAAAAAATAGCTTTCCTGTATTTTTTAAGTCTGGAGTACACTTAAGTCTTTACACATGGAGAAATAGGAAACAGAGTATGAAAAGTGGTTATTTGAGGCCTTCCTTACCTAGAATTCTACTCTTTGGGAGTCTTTTTGCTGGGCCTTGTGAATTCACAGGAGTAGTATTGCAAGTCGAATGGAATCAGCTACTACTGTGTCCCTTACTGCTTTATTTTTTTTTTTTGTTTGTTTTTTTCTCGCTTTCTCTTCTTCGCTTCATTTTAATTTTGTTGTTTTCAGCATGTGATTTTATTTTGAGCCTCTGCACATTTTTTTTTTTTTTCTGTTCACCCTGGAATTCTTAACATGCAGAAGTTTGTGTGACTGCTTTTTATTTTTTTTGCCTCACAATTATGCTGTGAATTTTAGGAGAGTTTATTTTCCCTTTTGATAATTTATTGTACCAAAGCAGTTTTTTTATAGCACATAGATGTCTGTAACCAATAATGTAGCAGTTGTGCACTTTGAAACAAGGTGTATCAGACCTTTTTTTTAAATGTCAGTAAAAATGGCTGTATCTATTGCTTTGTTGAAACTGGAACTGTTGTTTAACGCGGCACATTTTACTGAGAGCTGGATCCCGATCAGTATCAGCTGGGTTTTTTTTTTTCCCCCCATTTCTGTTTTTTTGATACCAGAAAACACAGAAAAACAACTAAAAACACAACTATTTTGCGTGAGTAGATTTTAGTTTCGCTTCGCTCCGTGAGATGGAGAGAGGGTCGATGCCCGTGCTGTTGGCTGCTCTGCGGGTTCCAGAGCTTCAGGGTAAGCCGCTGACCGTCTCAATGCGAGAGCGTGACCCCTTTGGCCCTGCGGCGGAGTGCAGACGGCGATTTGTTGAGGTGCCTGATTTATCTGGGTTCCGCTGCCTTAAGCATTCAGCACCGCCGCTCTCCTGAACGAACAGCGCGGCCCCCTGCATTCAGGTTCGTGTTCAGCCCGCCCCACCAGGCTCAGACAGGAAGCTGGGGGCTCAGAGGGGCGCAGGGGTTGAGATTTGTGAGAACACAGCCTGGTCTACTGAACTGTCTCTCTGTCGCTCGCGCTCTCTTGCTTTCGCTAACGGTATCTTCATACCTCGCTCTCTGTCTCGCCCTGTGTTGCTCGCTCGCTCGCTCTCTGTCTTTCGCTCCCTCTCTCGCTCGCTCTCTCCATGTGAGTGTGATGATGATGATGACGATGATGATGATGATGATGATGCCTATAAATACAAGGTAAATGGTCCTATAGGGTTCTTATTCTCGGCCAGCAGCAGAGGACAGCTAATGGGAGGAGTCCATGAAACCCAGGCTTCAGGTGTTTACTTTGTGACCCCATTTTAATAGCTGAAATAGAATTTATGTACATATTTATATTTTTTTAATAAAGGAAGTTTAGAACTCACTACTTTTTTCCTAATGGTATTTTGAGTACATTTAAGTCAGCTTGGTGACCATGCAGTGGAACTCTCTGTGGTAGTCAATGGGTATCAGTGCTTCCAGCCCAAAGTAGTTGACAATGCCAGTACAAATGCAAAACTCTAGGGTTTAAAATCTAACAGGAGAGTAGATCTTCATACCTTAAATATAATAGACAGGGTATAGTGTGTGGATGTGTGTCTACAATCCGAATGACGGCAGTGTTTTCATATATTCGTATACATAAGAGATTATGTATGCCTAGTACAGGAAATATTTTTGTTGTGTTAATTTGGCACAAGCTTCAATAAATGGGTCCATGTGAAAAAAAAAAAAACGAAAGTAGGCTATTGCTGGAGGTGCGTGTCGAAGTGCACAGCGGTCGTTTACACACACAGTCTGAACCGTGCATCCTCGGATAAACGTCAGCTCTTAACTCCGAGTTCCACAAATGCAACCCAAACACCCACCACCCCCCACCCCCCCCAGGACAAGCGCAGAACTCACTGCGGCTTCCCCCCCCTCCCTGCCCCTTATCCCCCCCCTTTCGAGCCCTGACCCCCTGAACCCCCCCAAAGGCCTCCACACCCACTTTAGAGTCTGCACTCCTTCTCCCTTTGGTTCCAGGACATCTGATGTGCACTGCAGAGCTGAACAGCGTGGCAGAAGGATAAGTACCTTTTATCCACAGATTGTACGATCAGGACTTTCTGTGTAAAGTAAAATGTTACTGAGAGGCAGAAATGGACAAACCCTTTGTACTATATTCAAGCGGTCTTATGTATGACATAAAAAAGTTGCTTAAATTTTGCCCGTCTCATTCTTTTTCTATTCTGTCCAGCTGACAAAGACAGTCTTTCTGTCTTGCCTGTCTTTCGGACTGCATTTTTGACTCAAGAAGCAAAGGCCTGTGCTTGTCAGGGGTCTCAGAGAGTGAGAAGGTCAACCTACGCTCTCCTCGTCTGCGCTTTGTTGGAATGGATGTAAAAAGGTGATAACAGATCATAGAAGACCCCTCTACACAGGTTCATAAACAAGACGGCAATTCTGTGAACAGCTTCCACTTCAACCCTTTGAGGGGACTTTAGTAATGTTTATACATTTATATGTTTACAGGAGTTTACACCGATCAGGCATAACGTTCTGACCACCTCCTTGTTTCTACGCTCATTGTCCATTTTATCAGCTCCACTTACTATATAGGTGCACTTTGTAGTTCTACAGTTACAGACTGTAGTCCATCTGTTTCTCTGTATACTTTGTTGGTCCCCTTTTACCCTGTTCTTCAGTGGTCAGGACCCCCATGCACCCTCACAGAGCAGGTACTATTTGGGTGGTGGATCATTCTCAGCACTGCAGTAACACTGATGTGGTGGTGGTGGTGTGTTAGTGTGTGTTGTGCTGGTACGAGTGGATCAGACACAGCAGTGTCACTGCTGGACTGAGAATAGTCCACCAACCAAAATGATCCAGCCAACAGTGTCCTTTGGGCAGCGTCCTGTGACCACTAATGAAGGACTAGAGGATGACCAACACAAACTGTGCAGCAGCAGATGAGCTATCATCTCTGACTTTACATCTACAAAGTGGACTGACAAGGTAGGAGTGTCTAATAGAGTGGACAGTGAGTGGACACAGTGTTTAAAAACTCCAGCAGCACTGCTGTGTCTGATCCACTCGTACCAGCGCAACACACACTAACACACCACCACCACGTCAGTGTTACTGCAGTGCTGAGAATGATCCACCACCCAAGTAGTACCTGCTCTGTGAGGGTCCATGGGGGTCCTGACCACTGAAGAACAGGGTAAAAGGGGGCTAACAAAGTATGCAGAGAAACAGATGGACTACAGTCTGTAACTGTAGAACTACAAAGTGCACCTATATAGTAAGTGGAGCTGATAAAATGGACAATGAGCGTAGAAACAAGGAGGTGGTCATAATGTTATGCCTGATCGGTGTAGCTTGTATATATAAAAACTTTATATACGAAACTTTTTTGTATTTATATGTTGGCCACAATGCTTACACCAAGCCTCAACGGCAAATCAAACAAAACGGTCACTGTACGCTCTGTATTATCTAACGCAGTATCAGATCACATCCATTTTGGTGTGGATGTCATGATTATGTTGGCCAATACTGATCAAATTTAATATCAGAAGTTTTCAAAATTTCAACGATTTCCAATCATATAATGGAATCGTGGCGTTAGACTTCAATTTTCTTCCCTTAAACTGGCATCAAAGGGAGCTTTACACAGAATTGCAAACATTAAGCCGACAGAAAACACATTTATAGAAAGGAAACTTGATATTTATTTCATTTTTATATATTTTGAACTGTTCCCAAAATCCCAGTAAATGACATACATTGTAAGTTAGATCCTGGGTACGATGAGTATTGAGTAACATGCACGAAATAGAATTAACAGGCTAAAAACAGCTTGGCAGCAGGGACACTGCAGTTGGATAGGATTATGTCATGGTTATATCGAATATCGTCACTGTTAAACACTTTTTGTCAATTTCAACTTTTTTTTTCCATCATTTGAACCTGGCAGCTGTCCTTTACTCTGAATGATGATGAATGGACCAATAGAAATGCTCCAAAATCACTTGGAATTAAACCTCTTTACATTATCTTACATTAAAAGGTAGGAAAGTTTCTGCAATCTCCTGTAAAGTTACCATTTTGGGGATACGTGTTGCTTTGGACTTCAATGATATATGACTTAAAATATGGCTAAAAGCACAAAGCAATATCGGTCAGTACAGACGACACATCGTCCAGCCCTACCCTCTCAGCTTCAGCTGTACAGTTCGCACTCCACAGTGTAGCTGCAGGCTGTGTTAGAAGTCTGCTTTCATTCATAATTAAGAGGCTCTCCTGGGAAGAAGACCACTTCTATTGAGACTTTCCAGTATAGACTACTCATTAAACCTAAAGCTGAATGCATTTTGTTAGAGATTGGCCTACAAGGAGAGGATTAAAGGATGTAGTATTCTCCGTTTAGTTTGAGCTGCTACTGTTGGCCCCCATGCTGTCAGTGACCACGTCAGGGCTTCAGGCGCCCCTGACTTTACATTAATGTAGATGAAACGTGAACAGTGGTAGGAACAGCAGAACACATGAAGAAATCAGGCCACAATCTGCTCCCAATGAAATCTTCCTCAGTGGAATCTGTTGGAGTCGTGTTTGTGCTCGTTTTTGTGTTGTAGGTTGTGTCTGCCACTCATTTCAGACACAAGGCCCTCACTTCATAGCTCTGGAGATTCGGTGACATTATCCAATTTGCTGAAAGTGGTGAGTCCAAGTATTTGAGGTATTTTGAGTATTTTCAAATAATACTTTTTTAATCTCAAGTATGTTTTTGAGGAAATGATTGTACTGCCATTTTAGTCATTCAGGTTTAGTTCCCAATTCTTTTTTTGTTTAATTTCACTCTGTTTTGTTGGAGACTGCCACAGGACTGGTGTGCTGTTGCCCCTACCCTTGTGTCTCACTTAAAAGTGTTAGTATTTTATTTTAGACCAAAAATATCTCAAATAGAGAAGAACAGCATAGACCAGCATGGCTGATCACCAGCAAAAC